GATGTTGATGTCTCATGACCTTGGAGCAAAATCACGACAAACCCTTGGGTTGTGGGGAACAATCCTCCTAGTTTAATAGAAATCCAAGCAAGGGTTACAAAGTTATGAGCCAGACACGACTATGAAGACGGATTGCATCAATCCATAACACATCCCAAATTCCATATGGGTGAACAATTTTTCTCTCATATGACAAGAGTGCCCATCTAATAAAAGAACAGCAGGATGCTTTCTGTAAATGATGCAGCCTGTTTTGAGTTCTGAACAGAACATTGGTTAAGCCACCAGTTTAATCTTTCTTTTGTATTAATGTAAATCATTCTACGTGACACTAAATGCAGCATCTTCAGTAAACAATGTGTTGTTTGATGCTTGCTTAATGAGAGTAGACATGACATTTTTGAAGTTTGTGTATTAATTAAATATTAATAATGCTACAAAATCGTTATTTCGCCTGTAGGTTACAATATAACTTCAAGTAACTAATATAAGCTGGCAATACAATAATAAATCATCTTGAATTATATTCCAAAAGTGATCTGCATGACTATTAATAACAGAGAAACAAGACAATTTGAACTTTTTTTTATTAAAACAAAGCAGAGTACATGTACATAAGGAACGGTACACAAGCGAAATGTGGGACATACAACATACTAACTAGGTACAGAGTTACACACATCTGTATAATAATATACATGTAGCTGACTACAAGACGTGAAACACAGCAAACAGGTAATATGTACCATAAACAAGGCATAATTTACAGTACTGATTAATCTACAGATAAATCGTTATACAGTACTGATTAGGTGTTATACAGGGCTGATTAATCGTAATACAATACTGATTTATCGTTATACAGTACTGATGAATCATTATACAGTGCTGATTAATAGCTATACAATACTGATTAATCGTTATGAAACAATGAAAAGAAAAAATATAAATTACCAACACTTTGAATTTATTTTATAGTAAAAACCGACTACAGTGTGTTTAAGTTCCCCAATGACCAGAGAGTTACTTGAATTGGTGCAAGATAGCACACAATCACACTAAAGGGTAAATAAAAACCAAATACATTTGGTGTATATGATCACTGACAATACAAGGTGCAATCACAGCAGTTTCCAATCCCTTAACATCGGTGCAATAACTAATGGCAGGCTAGTCCAAAATAACTCTCCTTTAAAAGAAGAGGCAGAGATGAATACTTTTGTTTTGAAAAAGGAGATAGTTGTTTTAGACTAAACACATATTTATTTAGTTGTAAGGCCTATGGTAGAATAGCATGCTTAGCTAACTTGGGAAAGTTAAGTTAATTTTCAAATTGTATTAATGCGTGAAGTTACATAAGCTATGCCTTTATCAGCCTACTCTTATGACAACTTTATTAGTATTCTCTGCAATACATCCTAACACCAATTAGCATATAATTACAATTGTATCTTTTACATACATGTATATTAATCTTTCTGATCAATGATAAGATGTGACTTTTAGTAGTACTACACATAATATGAGGCAAAAAAGCTAAATGTACTACAAAATGATTAAAAGCTCACAGCAAAATGCCGCTCATGAGAATAGTCCCATTTCCTGGCTATTAAAATGATCAGACAACACATGCTACTCTATGAACAACTGAGCTTGACCTGGTGAGTCATGGGCTACACCGATACAATCTACACTCAACTTGTTAACGATTCAGGTACATTATATATGGGCTGAATAAGTTGTCATTTTAGTCTGTAAGAACACCAGTATATCAGTCCTGTTTTCAGCTTCAATTGATATACATGTTATTTATGCCATTTATTTGATGAATTCCTGGAGAAATATAAAGAAAAGGAAATGACAGATTTTGAGCAGCTCCCTAGCCATTTAACCTCTTTAGAGGTTCATCATGAATGTGGTTTCTTTGAAACCATCATTTTGACAGGACAACAAGACAACACAGAAAATGTCTTTCTTAATGGTGCGTCGTCCTGTCAATGTGATTGTTCCAAATAACCACCTCCCCTGTGGTGGTCCTCTGAAGAGATTGAAACAATGAGGAGCTGCTCAGATATAAATAGAAACAAAGAAGTAATAATGGTAGTGCTATATATCAAACGAGACCCAGGGAAATTGTGCTGACAACCTTTGATGGCAATTTTGGTTTTAGGTTCAGTCACAAAATTTTATATGTATAGCTATAGACCATGGGGAAACTTCCTGTGAATGATGAACGATCCCTTAGTACTTTCTGAGAAATTATGCTAATAAACTTTAACTGTCAAATTTCAAGATGGCTGTCTGTCGGTCCATTTAACATGCCAATCTAGGGACCATGGGGAACTTTCAGGTGAACAAGCTTAAGAGGCCCATGGGCCTTAACAGTCACCTGATATATTTATACAGAGAGTTGATTTTGTTTTTAACATGAACAGAAATATTATTCTAAGTGACAAAAAAACAATAAAACCACCTTATTCAATATCTAGCATACAGATTTAAGACTAAAAAGTATTTGAAACTAGCACCTCTGATTCTAAACAAGGAAAATGAAGAAATTTTAGCACACTGACTCCTTTGGGCCCCACCCTACAGCCCTTGGGGGTAGGGCTGGCTCAAATTTTTTTAAGTATCAAACTGTCAACTCAAGGTAATAATTCCAATCAAGTTATTAACATGTAATATTCAAAGTATCATTTGCCATTATAAACCATAATAAATTTTGCCGCCCACCCCCCTACACCCCAGGGTGTAAACCTGAGACCCTAGGGTCGTAAACCTTAAGACTAAGACACTTCCATCTATGGAGAGTGTTTGATTCTACTATATTTTGCTCTTGAGAAGAAGATTTTTGAAATATCAGTCAATTCGACCCTTTTTGTGGCCCCACCCATCAGCCCCGGGGGGTCAGTCAGGGCTGATATGTGCATACTATAAAACTGCTACCTATTACTGAAAATGCTAACCTAAATTGAATTACTTCCAATGGAAATTAAACAAATGTTGGTCCAAAATGTGATTTCCCTATATAAACTATAGTAAAGTTTACCCCCTCCCCAGGGGGAAACGTGAGACCCCAGGGTCATGAAATTCACAATTTTGGTAAAGCACCTTAATACCCTTCCATCTATGAAGAGTTTTTGATTCTACCATATCTGGGTCTTGAGAAGAAGATTTTTGAAATTTTTCGTCAATTTGACCCTTTTTGGCCCCGTCCCTCAGGCCCCTGGGGGCTTGGGACTAAACTGGTAACTATTTTTGTTGACCTTTGTCCATGAAAGGTTCCTGCACAATTTCATTGAAATTGGTTCAGCGGTTTTGGAGAAGAAGTTGAAAATGTAAATTGTTTACGGACGCATGACGGACGACGGACGACGATGGACAAAAGGCGATCGCAATAGGTCACTTGAGACTTTTGTCTCAGGTGACCTAAAAATTAAAAAGACCTGTCCACCCCGACTTCCTGAGAAAAGCTAACAAGAATTGTTTAAGGACCGATTACAGACAAAGGGTGATTTGAACAGCACAGTATCTGATGCTACTGGTCTATAAAAATAAAACAGAGGAAAACTGTTACAACTGAATTGATGTGCTGATAGTTAATCTTTGGATGGCCGGGAGCCAAAGGCTTTTTATAGAACTCATTTCAACTCCTGGCTGACAGAAGAGTTATGATTATAAGCATCAACATATTAATTCAGTAGTGTCTGGTTGTCTGTTTTGTATTTTGTGATCCTACTACGTAATTGTTTCATGTGTCTTCATAAAGGAGTTGATTGCCCCAGAAATCTCTTCAACTCTTTGATATACACTATCATGGTTACTTCTCTGCTTTCATAAAAATATGTACTATTTATGTAACAAATATCCAACAGTTTTTTGTTTGTGTGGATCCAGTGTCTATATGAGATCGTATATGCTATATACACATATTGTAAGGAGTGGCCTATATATCAGTTAAAATTGATCTTGAAAGAAACAATAATTCATTTATTGGTGAAAAAAGATGTGGAGAGGTAACTGGAACAAGAGGCCCAATGGGCCTGCATCGCTCACCTGGTAATAATTTCACACTTGTAATCTTAAAAGTGGACTAAAATACAGCAACAGGCAGAATATCAGTGTTTGATTCATAAGAACCTATTAAAAGATTTAAACATGACTCTTACATCATATCTAGAATTAGGCACAGTGTATTTACCTGTAAATGACCAGCTGTTATATAAAACGTACAGACGTTGTGCCAATTAAGTCATCCTTCAATACTGTACTCAGTGCACGTGTAATTGATACATCAGAAACTTAGTAATCCTATTTAGATCCAACAACCCAAGTTACAAGGGGTTGGTTTTAGGTACATTTCCTCACACGCACTAGCTGAATGGTGTATATGAATTGTATGCAAGAAACTGTCCACCTCACCTGTACCAGGCTTATGAAGCATCTGATTAGTGTCAGACTATTCACCTGTATAGAGGTTGTCTTTACACACCACAAACATCCATTTCTATAGTAATCTTATGGCAGGTATACTGATTGACTCTTTCTAGTGCTGCTGTATAGGTTATGACCATTTCCAGAAATCTAATTTTGTACAATGTTGTAGTTAATCTTAAAAGTATTGATGTCACAAATATATCCAATTTTACCCGTATATTGTAGGTGTCACATCGAATAAAATATCACACCCGAATAAAATATCACACCAAATAAAATATCACACCGAATAAAACATTGAAGAATGCCACCAGTGACCGATACACGATCAAAAAGCTGTCAGAATAATTGAACCAGCAGACAAGTTGATAACATACTGGTCACTGGTGAGTAACGTTCCAATAACCTCTGCAATCAAGTTCTAAAATCAATGTAAATGCTGTTCTATTGAAAACTTAATCTGAAATAAGAATGTTATTTAGAATATAAATGTATAATAGAAAACTTAATCTGAAATAAGAATGTTATTTAGAATATAAATGTATAATAGAAAACTTAATCTGAAATAAGAATGTTATTTAGAATATAAATGTATAATAGAAAACTTAATCTGAAATAAGAATGTTATTTAGAATATAAATGTATATCATATGAAACTAAAAACAGGAATGTGATAACAGGTGTTGTTACAAACTTACCAAGTATTCAGTACGTAAAAAGATGTTAATAATGAACCCCAGGCATTCTAAAAATTACTTGACTTCTCCTTGGGGAAAATGTTGTTACAACTTCTGATGTCCATGATCATGAGATAACCCTGTACCATGGACACGGATGAAATTGATATTAGGATGTTGTCACATTAAAAGTGTTCCTAGTACATGTACACATGTTTTACCATAACATTCTTTTATGGCTGGGGATGTCAGATAGGGAAATTCCACCAGCAGAGTTTCCAAACTGGGTAAAACCTGAGGCTTGCCTACATCCCTGGGCATGAAAGAGTATTTCTTTCTCATTCAAATCACCAGAATTAGCTCAGGAACCACAATAAAAGCATTGTAATTTACTCATCTTGACATCAGAATGTTTCTGATTTTGTGAATTGTTATACCATTGTGGCGTCATAAAAATAAAATGGGGTGCAAGATAGAAATGACCTACTCCCCTTTTCTTGCCCTAGACAGTTCTGTCAAACATTCACAGGTATAAGAGAAAAGATCAGTCTGACCTCTAGCCCTTTATCATGGACATCTAGTTATTACCAGAGTTAATCTGATATTAAAAGACATCTCTCTCGAAAACGATCATAGTTGCAATGTGTGAGTGTAACAACAAAGGGGATAATGTATACCAGGAAACTTTCCCAGTCCCAGATTCACCCTTCATTAGTAAAAGCTACATCTGCCCAGTGTTCAATTCTCTCTTCACATGTAATCACCAATAATATCTGAGCTATGCTGTGTGCTAATATTCACTGTCATAACAATTCAATGCACCCTCATTATGGAAAACAAAAGCAATGACTGAAAAACTGCACTGAGAAATTTCCTATATACAATTACAGAAGATAACACACCGGTATACTTAAATGACATAACTTTCACAGGAAGTGAAAGTCAAATTGCATTAATTAATTTATAGTCAACTCCACATTATTGTTTTTGCTGGTTATAGTCATGTTTCAGTAAATTTGAAAAGCATTTTAAAATGCATTTTCAGCAACATACATATTTTATGCATTGTCAACATAACATATATAGCTTGTACAAATAATTCTAGTGTGCAATTTGAATCACGTTTCATATTAAATTGACCAATTAGATATCCTGGCCCCATGCTTTCCTGAATGTCATTTTAATGATTTCTCTCAGTCAGTTACTTATCAAGCAAAGCACAACATAGAAACTCCGCCATATCTACGTGTGATAAGTATCGATGGTCTATAAAACACATTTTTTTTGTTTTTTTTTGTTGTTGTTATAGTCACTGTTGAATGATGTCATACAGAGGAAGTAAGATTTTATCATTTAAAGCACAGTGGACAGAAAAGAGGAGTTTCTGGACTATTACCTCAGCAATGGCATAGGGAAAAGAACCCAGTAAAATATTTTATTGGTATGGGAGATATAAACATTTAATCGTCATGTCAAAGTTTGGGTAAGAATCAACACAGAGCCTTGATACTGACAATTTTTTTTAACTTTTTGATAGGATTTTAAAATCCTCTTACACCTACATAATCTATTATAACAATAGAAATGTGACAAAACACCTGTTCGTACATCATTAAAAACCATACTGTGAATTAGCAGTCTGATTCACAGCTATAACATACATAGACAACATATGTAACACATGTACACTTTACATGTATCTTATGCAAAGTTACATTGTTTCGTAACAAAATTGTACATGGTTTACATAGACTTATACAATAATTATCAATGATCCAAGACTGTGTTTTGTATAACCTTCTACCAATTTTTGATGTTTCTGTTATAGACTTAGATATTATATTGAAGGTGTCCAAGCTTCCCAACCACGCCAAGGTAACAGCCTTCTGGGAAGAAAACATTATCTTGAGCCTCATTTTCCTTTCATTAACAGCCAGAATAACGTGTTTGGTGGAGGATAAATTCCCATGAAGATGGTGATGTTGGAACAAGGGTTTAAAAGTAATGGCAAACAGGATGGAGGATGGAAATAAAGAGTGGTTCAATAAAGCTACAATGCTAGTAATAAGTCGCTGACTGAGAGAGATCATTTCCTTGCATTCAGTTTTAAGCCACATTTTACCATTACCATAATCTTTTACTGCATAGCATAGAGAGTCTTTCATATTAGCTGTAATGAGCGCACAAACACCGCGCTGAAAGAAATGAGGCAAGCATTTGTTAGGGAGGATTGATTCCATTGATGTCCACATCGATTTTGATAAAGATAGTGTCTTCATGAAGGTACGTTCTTGTTTCCAGCACAGTGTGAGAGACAAAAAGGGGACAGCCTGATGCGATATTCATCTCTGTCTGTGGTCTTCGGAAGCTGTTGCTGTTGGGATCAGGTCTGAAGGTGTCTGACAGGTGTCTCGCTCCCGTGTCCTGATCTAGTAGCATCATGTTCACCTTCTGCTGGAACGGCCACGGAAGGAGGGTGTCAAAATCCCCTCTCATCACCACAAAGAAGAGTGACATATGTGTGCCTATTGATTAAACAATAATTCATGACATTATAAATACACTTAAGTTAAAATAATTCAAATTCTCAATGTGTCAGAACATATAATAATAACTTATATGTTACATTATGATAATGATACCTAAATATACATTATGAGAAAAGTTAATACATCCATAAAAAATATTTTCTGACATTAGTAACTGTGATCTCGACTAGTACTGCAGCATCATGAAATGCAAACGTAAATTCTAACAAGACAACAATAGTACCGCGGGCCGGAACAAAATACGCCCGTCGAATGCCATATAGTGTTATATACTTTCTTACATTGAAATAAGATCTGCATCATTCTAAGAGTGGTTAGCAGACATGCTATAAATTTTTTTTAAAAATGTAGGAGAAAATCTTTGTACAAAAAACAAAATACTGAAATGAACAAAAGGCAATAAATTTTGCAAAAATCGTCGAATCAAAATTCTTTTATAGGCGACACAACTTCATGTCATGATTATAAAGTATACCAAGTTTCGAAGAGATCTGTTGAAAAATGTAGGAGGAAATCTCTGGACAAAAATCAAATACCGAAATGAACAAAGGGCAATTACTTTTGAAAAAATTGTTGAATCAAAATTCTTTTAAGGGAGACACAACTTCATATCATGATTATAATGTATACCAAGTTTCAAATAGATCGGTCAAAAAATGTAGAAGGAGATTGCCGGACCAACAATGTTTACGATGGACGGACAACGCCATAATACTACCATCAAATTTGACGGTCGTATAAAAATAGCAGACATATAACTTGTGTACCGGTAAGGTTTCATGGCTAACTTTTTGAAAATAAAGTTGCTCAAGGGATAACAAAGATTTTCTTAAAACAATAGCAGTATCTTTGATATTAGTGCACCACAGTGAAATAATTAATAACATGTGTCATACCTAGACTTGAATGATATACTGTGATGACAAAAGAATTTCATGGGAAAGGGTTCTCAATAAAAGGAATTTTCAAATATTTCCTATATTGAGTCTCCTTGGCTAAAAGTTCCAGATTAAATGAAACTTTATACTTCTCTATCCGTGAATGCTATTGGTTAATTATCATCACCCAGGGCCTCCAGCTGGTTATGCAGAAGAAATTGTTTAAAGGTTTTTATATCTTTGACTCCTTTGACCATGGAAATATAGGTAATTGATTTGGGGAAACTTTTATAGCACTCCATGCCAGGTACATACTGGCAAACTATCATTGCCCTGGGCCTCCTGGTTATTCAGAAGAAGTTGTTCAAACATTTTTTTTATATATATTTGATGCCAGTGAACTGAAAGAAGGTCATGGTCATTTATTTGAAGTAAGCTTATAGCACTCCGTTCCAGATACTTACTGGCTAAGTATCATCACCATATGTGCCTTATTTATTTAGAATAAGTTGCTCAACGGTTTGAACATAATTGGCTCATGTGACCTTCAACATATATCAAGGTCATCCAGTTCAGGTCACTTCTTAGCACTACATCGCAGATAATTACCGGACAAACATCATCACTCTGTTTCTCCTTTTTATCGAGAACAGGTTTTTAATTTTTCTTCTTACATATTTGACCCCTGTGACCTTAAAAGTAAGTCAAGGTCATTTCTTTGAGGACAGTTCATAACACTCCATCCCAGGGACCTACTGGCCATAAATCATTGCTCTAGGCCTCTTAGTTATTCAGAAGAAGTTTTTTAAGATTTGATTAACACATTTTACACTTGTCAAGTTCATTTATTTGTTGATTTTGTGCCAGGTAAGCTAACATATGTAACAAGAGGCCCAAAGGGCCTGTATCGCTCACCTGAATATCTAAGCAATCATGGCAAAATATTCTCCAAATGAGATCCAAGGAAATATGCCAACCCAAAGGCCAATCCTTATAGCATATCTGTATTAGATTTTTCATGCCCAGCAATTTTATGTATGGTTATGAGATGGGACACTCAACTGTTTCCAAGCTGTGACTCAGAAACTAGGTCCCTTGGGTTGTGGCCAGACCCCAGGATCAATTCTAATATCATGACTGCATTTGTCTCTTTTTGCCTAGCATTTGTATATATAGTTTTGGGGTGGGTATCTCAACCGTTTCAAAGTTATGTCCCAGGGGTTAAGTCTGCAAAGGTAGGGCAGACCCTGGGGTCAATTCTAATATCATGACTGCATTCGTCTCTTTATGCCCAACAATTGTATATATAGTTTTGGGGTGGGGATCTTAACCATTTCGAAGTTATGACCCAGGGGTTAAATCTCCAAGGATGGGGCAGTCCCCAACGCCATCCCGGAAGAATATTTGCATTCTCTCTTTATACTCAGCAATTGTATATATGGTTATAGGGTGGTGATCTCAACTGTTTCCAAGCTGTGACTAAGAAACTAGGTCCCTATGGGTTCGGTCAGACCTCAGGGTCTATTCTAATATAATGACTGCATTCATCTCTTTATGCCCAGCATTTGTATATATAGTTTTGGGGTGGGGATCTCAACCGTTTTAAACTTATGGCCTAGGGACTATGTCTCCAAGGGTGGGGCCAGACCCTAGGGGCCATCCTGGAAGCAAATGTGCATTCTTCTCTTTATACGCAGCAATTGTATATATGTATGGTTATATGGTGGGGATCTCAACCATTTCCAAGTAATAAACCTTTTTTGGCCCCACCAGCTTAGCCCGGGGGGTCAGCCCCACCATTTGTACAATTTTGAATCCCTGCCTCCAAAGAATGCTTCTGACCAAATATGATCGATATCCATGGCATAGTTCTACAGAAGAAGTCGCTTATAGCAATATAGCCAAATAACCCTTTTTGACCCCGCCCCTCAGCTACCTGGAGGGTCAGCCCAACCATTTGTACAATTTTGAATCTCCACCACCTAGGGATGCTTCCAGTCAAATATGGTTGATATCCATCTCTTAGTTCCAGAGGAGAAGTCGCTTAAAGCAATATAGCCAAATTGCCCCCTTTTTGCCCCCTTTTTGTTCCGCCCCTCAGCCCCCTGGGGGGTCAGCCCTTCCATTTGTACAATTTTGAATCCCCACCACCTAGGGATGCTTCCAGTCAAACATGGTTGATATCCATCTCTTAGCTCCAGTGGAGAAGTCGCTTAAAGCAATATAGCCAAATTGCCCCCTTTTTGCCCCGCCCCTCAGCCCCCTTGGGGGTCAGCCCCACCGTTTGTACAATTTTGAATCCACACCACCTAGGGATGCTTCCAGTCAAATTTAGTCAAATTCCAATCAGTGGTTAAGAAGAAGAAGTTGTTTAAAGAAATTGTTGACGGACGGACGACGGACACCACGGTATGGCATAAGCTCACCTTGGTCCTTCGGACCAGGTGAGCTTACAACTGTGTTGACTAAAATATAATTCAAATCTGGACTACATCAATCTGATATATGATCTTGTCAAAGGTACTCTCATACCCAACATCTCAGTTTTATGAAAATTCCTTGAGAAATATGTTTGTTAAGTATCGACGAATGGTGTCAGCATACATGGTGAAGCCTATTTCTCCCACCCTTCACAGGTGTCTCCTGATTTAGCCGGGAAAGATCAGCTTGTCACCCCTTAGGGGGAGATAGCCTCGTGCCGATTAGCACATGTTCAATTGTGACGTCATTAAAATGTGTAACCCCGGTAATTGTGATGTCCTCAAAAGTGAATGACGGTATTCATACCCCACATGTGTTTTTGTTTACAAACATGGCAGAATATTGTCGGTGGAGTTGTGACAGAAGTAAAAGGATTGGAGAAAAATAATCGTCCCAAACCTTGAGGGTGTAACGGAGAAATCTCCTACCCTCAGGGTGATTTTTGTTGGTTGTCTAACCCGAGGCTCAACAAAAAATCATCCCTCGGGTAGCAGATTTCTCTGTCACACCCTCAAGGTAGGGGAAGTAATTAATAATCCCCTTGTAACAAAACAATCAAAAGCTTCAAAACTGTAGATAGGAATGTATTAAATTAGTGAATACCTTTGCCCATGCCATCTCCATTCAGATACACACGAGCACACATCTTGTATCCGAATTGACTTGTGTAAAAGGGCTGGCTGTACAAAGAAAGTGTCCTGCCTGTAATGGCTTCCTGCTTCCTTCTAGCATAATCTCTGATTTTCCACATCAAAACCCCATTGAAGGAGGCAGTCTCGTGTATCTGGAGTCTGAGGTCTAATTCAGCCACACGGACATCCATCAGTCCAATCTGTCTTTCATGGTTCTGCAACTGGTTAGCAACATTACCTACAAATCAAAACAAAATCAATGTGGTAAGAACACATATTAAATCGATCAGAAATACCTTATATCTTATATAGGGGACAGAATGGTAGGAAATACCTTATATCTTATATAGGGGACAGAATGGTAGGAAATACCTAGACATCGTGATCTAAGAAAGACTGAAATGTGAACTTGCGCATTAGGTGGTGTTTATCAACTTATAAGTTGAGTTTCATGACAATCAGTTGAAGGTCTTAGGTGGACAAAAAGTAGCCATCTTACAAAGTCTGAAAGTCTCTTAGATGGACAGAAAGTAGTCATCTTACGAAGTCTAAAGGTCTTAGGTGGGCAAAAAATTAGTCACCTTACAAAGTTTTGAAAGTCCTAGGTGGTAAGAAAGTAGCCATCTTACAAAGTTTGAGGGTCTAAGGCGGGCAGAAAGTAGCCATCTTACAAAGTTTGAGGGTCTAAGGCGGGCAGAAAGTAGCCATCTTACAAAGTTTGAGGGTCTAAGGCGGGCAGAAAGTAGACATCTTACAAAGTTTGAGGGTCTAAGGCGGGCAGAAAGTAGACATCTTACAAAGACTGAAAGTCTTAGGTGGACAGAATGTAGCCACCTTACAAAGTTTGAAAGTCTTGAGTGGTAAGAAATTAGCGATCTTACAAAGTCTGAATGCTTACAAAGTTTAAAGGTCTTAGGTGGGCAAAAAAATTAGTCACCTCACAAATTTTGAAAGTCTTAGGTGGGCAGAAAGTAAACATCTTACAAAGTCTGAAAGTCTTCGGTGGGCAGAAAGTCGACATCTTACAAAGTTTGAAGGTTTTAGGTGGACAGAAAGGAGACATCTTATTACATTTAAGATCCTAGATGGATAGAAACTAAGTGCCTAGAAACCATCTTCACACACCAGGTTACCATGACCTTGCCTCTTTTGACTCCATATGAATAGGATTTCTCTTCCCCCTTTAGGTAAGGATGCTGTTGAGTTGTAAGATTCTAGCTATATACCTGGTAGGTGGAATGAGTCTAAAACAACGGGTCACTGCAACCTAGACTTTTGACTCTAGACTCACAGGTGTTCCTCCTGACTCAATGAGTACTCATCCTCTATTTTGTGTCAGAACCATGGTGGAAAGACAATATATTTGGGGTATTGCAAAAAAAGTGTACAACTGTTATACGTTGATCCTTTTTACTCCAAATAAGTAACAAATAACTCTCGACTATTGGACCCCAAAAAATAAATCGGTATTTTTCTCATTTCACAGGTAAAAATCCTGTGAATCTATGATACTATATTTAAGAGTTGATCTATTGTTTTTGCATGATGAATTATTTTTGGCTTTTATGCTCATTAATAGGAGTCTTTCTACATTATGGTTAGTCATCCTGTAAATTTACAGTTGAGGAAAGAAAGTATCTACAGACCGACACACAAATGGACAGATAGGATGATTCTATAATACCCCCATATATTTTGTTTTTAGTTGTATAATGAGCTAAAATGAGTACCGCAGGGGCAAAACAATATACAACCATCAAATATCATGCACAAATTTGTTTTAACTTCCATGTTAGACTTCATCTTGGTAAAATATAAACAAACTAAGCCGAAGTCATTGTATATTGTAATTGTTTACATAGTTTCACTAAAGTCAACTGATTTTTAAGCAAGTTATCGTGTGGAAACTTAAGTGTGAACATTCACCAATTAGAACACAGTGTACTCATTACCGGTAGTTATATAGTAATTTCAGTCATCTTTGAACTGGAACTTAATTAGCCATTGCACAACGTACATGCTTCCCAAGTTTCATCAAATTAAATGAATTTGGCAACCTATCTTGCAGACACAAAAGGTTTGGTTTGTTTGTGTTTTAGGTCCTATTAACAGCTATGATCATATAAGGACATGCCAGGTTTTGAGGGTGGAGGAAAGCAAGAGTTCCCGGAGAAAAAACAACAACCTACGGCTAGAACCTGGCGACTGCCCCACGTAGGTCTCAAGCCCGCATAAGTGAGGATGGTGGATGGGTAAACATTTAGGAATAACGTGTTAAGCGGAATGGTCTAACAAAATGGCATACAATAGATGCATTCTGTTAGAACCTTATTCTATTGCTAAATTAATTAGGAGGTAATGCATTGTTCTAAAACAAAGACATTAATTACCAAATGCTTTAACGTCTAGATGTTTTGCCGGATGGCCAACTGCCACAATGTCCTGTCAAAATTTTGATATAAAAATTATAATGCTATGATAGGTTGTGTTAGACTCTCAGTACCTGGGACACCCTCCCCCTGTCCTCCGCCGAGTCCATTTCGCTCGATCTGCGTCACTCTGTCAGAGATATTTGTCTGTCCATCCCGCAGGGTCTGGATGTCTCTTCCCTGTTTTTCTACCGTGTCTTTCTTTGCCAAATCTTCTACTCGTCTTTCCAGGTGGATCACTCTTTCAGTGAGGGCAACAGCTTTCAGCTGATAAATAACAACAAATATATATATATAAAAAAAATCATTGAATTATATGTACATTTCCACTGCAAGTTCCTCTATCAGCCTTACCTGGAGAAATTGCGTTCATAGCTCTATGAACGCAATTTGATCAGCGTCATTTTGAAGCTCCTTCTCCTGCCGAGATCATCAAAAAATAATGGAATATCTATATCTAGGTCAATGTTAACTTAATATTTAGAATGAAAACATAAAGGATTGAACAGTAGCTTTTCAATGTTCATGACAGTATAAATGCAAATTGGTTTCCCAGGTACATACATATTTACCATGAAGCCTCCTGGTATAATATTTGCTGTATCACTATGGAGAGTAGAATAAGAGATTACATATTCCATATAATCATAAATAATAAACTATAATAAAACTGAACTAATAAATAGATGGGAGTATTTTAGGTCATACTATTTTACATTTAGATTGAAACTGACATTAAAACACTACAGAAAGTATTCAGGTACCTGTAATCACTGCTTAACCCTTTCACCACTGTGGACCATAATGAACTTATCCAGATCAATGCATGGTCGAGTTTACTGAAGTAACCTAGGGTGAAAGTGTTAAACAATCGGTTATTATTGTAATATAATGACATTTCAAACCTTCATATCCTTGACAGCCATTTTGCTGACTTCCAAGCCATCTTTTACAGTGGTCACTTCCTTCAGACACAGGTCAACAGTCCTCTTGTAGCTTTCCCGACTTGCAGAGATATCCTGTTTAGACAGTTTATTATGATAGATAACTGTGTGTTATCACAATTCAATACCTAACACTATAGTACTGAATTATATCTTCATGGTATTCACCACGAAACTTAGATTCTGTATGTTTATACAACCAATAAAGCAGTGGACAGGTATTCCGTCTTTTCGTATTGCAGAGTTATCTGCTCTTGTGAGCAGGTTATGATTGTTAGGCCAAACAATATTAATTAATTACTTGGTTCTCAGGGCAATTTTTTCCAAAATAGATGCGGCAGGGCGGTATTTCTTTTTTTACATGGCAAAAACGAGACGAGGGCGATTTTTTTTTTTTTTTGTGGTTTGTAAAACGTTCTTTGTGGACATTACCTTGTCTTTTTATAGTTGTGTAGAGACCCGTCATAGAGCAAGCCTCCGAAAATCCCCCCACGATGTTCCAGACAAGAATCACGAACCTCCCTTCCTTATTTGTACCGAAATGAGCGCCATTTGTACACAAGACTAATAAGTCATAATCATTTTAACGCTGGCCTGTATCTCAATCCTTACCTTTATTCAAGCGTTTTCGGGACTTGGGTGACTAACGAGTAAAAACGACATGCGTACATATTTTCCGTTTTTTTTAAAGATGTCGGCTGGCGCATTCACGATTTTTTTTATTACTTTCACGATAAAATCAGTAATGCGCACAGTGCCATGAAATGTGCATGGGCCTGAGAACCAAGTAATCAATTTTTTTGGCCTTACGTCATTTGTTTGTGAGAGTAACGTCATAAATTTTTGAGAAAAAGACGTAATTTTCTCACACAAACTAATGACGTAACAATCAATACCTGCTCACAATAGCAGATAACTCTGCAATATGAAAAGTCGGAATATTGATATGTGATCTTATGGATATCTTAACAGTGTCATTTCCAAAAAAGATAAATATACAAATTAATCAACTTTTTGCATTTAATATCAAATTAAACACACATGGTTGCAACTGCAAAATAAACATGACATAAGTTAGTTTAACTAGATAATGAAGCTCATTCTAGCTATACAAACCTTCTTCCTTTCAAACAACTTCCTTATTTAAACAAATATTTTTTGGATGGGATTCCAACAATTCTCTTTGGACGATGTCAGCATTACATAGCAGCCCTCTTACATTAATTGGTAATGGTTGAAAAACAACTTTGATCTCACGGCTAACATTAAGTACCGCTAAGACTGATAATGGTTACCGATGAAGAGATGATGTTGTTCTATGACGGATACTCTACAAAATGTATAGCAATCAATTTATAGGGCAAGGCTACAGTTTTACCAAATTTCCAAAAGCTCATTGCGAGTAATATTAGTTAATGCGAAAGCTGTAGTTGAAAAAATAAAATTTGCACCAGGAATCATACAAAACAAGCTGAAAGCTTAACATTTCCTCAACTGTTTAAAATACATATTGAATCAGAAGTTTAACAATGACAAAAAATCATTATATGTGCGAGTAGTTAAGATGAAAATAATATGTGTATGTACTTACTGTTTTGTATTTTTTCATGATGTATGTAATTTCAGAATAAAGATAGAAATTATTCAATATTTACCTGTATCTCCCTTCGGATCTCCATACTCTGCAGGTCAATGCTGGCCGTATACACAGTGGTAAGCTGTAGGTGATGGTCAATTGATTCCTGTTCATGCTTTTTCACATCTTCTTTTGATCCCTGGCATCAAAGAGGATATACAGCTGCTAATTTATAAATCTAATGGACTTACCACACTACATAGAGGAATGTACACACTCCTTACTGGAACACAATATGATTGATATTGGAATTGGACTAAAATACATAAGATTGATATTGGAATGAACTCAACCCATAAATGAACAAGAGGCCCCGAGGGCCTGTATCGCTCACCTGGATATCAAAAGTAATCATGGCAAAATATTCTCCAAATGAGATCCAAGGGAATATGCCAGACCCCAAGGCCAATCCTTGTAGCATATCTGTATTAGATTTTTCATGCCCAGTAATTTTATGTATGGTTATAGGGTGGGGATCTCAACTGTTTCCAAGCTATGACTAAGAAACTAGGTCCCTAGGGGTTCGGTCAGACCCCAGGGTCTATTCTAATATCTTGACTGCATTCGTCTCTTTATGCCCAGCATTTGTATGCATAGTTTTGGGGTGGGGATCTCAACCGTTTTAAAGTTATGGCCCTGGGACTATGTCACCAAGGGTGGGGCAAGACCCTAAGGCCATCCTGGAAGAAAATGTGCATTCTGCTCTTTATACTCAGCAATTGTATATATGATTATATGGTAGGGATCTCAACCATTTCCAAGTAATAAACTTTGTTTGGCCCCACCCCTTAGCCCGGGGGTTCAGCCCAACCATTTGTACAATTTTGAATCCCTGCCTCCCATTAATGCTTCCGACCAAATATGATTGATATCCATGGCATAGTTCTACAGAAGAAGTCGTTTATAGCAATATAGCCAAATTGCTCCCTTTTGGCCCCACCTTCAGCCCCCTGGGGGGTCAGCCCCACCATTTGTACAATTTTGAATCCCCACCTAGGGATGCTTCCAGTCAAATATGGTTGATATCCATCTCTTAGTTCCAGAGAAGAAATCGCTTAAAGCAATATAGCCAAATAACCCTTTGAAGTTTTTGGTCCCGCCCCTCAGCCCCCTGGGGGGTCAGCCACACCATATGTACAATTTTGAATCCCTGCCTCTCATGAATGCTTTTAATTAAATATGATTGATACCCAGTGCATAGTTCTATAGAAGAGGTTGTTTGTAGAAATATAGCCAAATTGTCCCCTTTTGGCCCCGCCCCTCAGCCCCCTGGGGGGGTTAACCCTACCATTTGTACAATTTTTAATCCCCACCACCTAAGGATGCTTCCAGTCAAATTTACTTAAATTCCAATCAGTGGTTAAGAAGAAGAAGTCGTTTGAAGATATTGTTGACGTACAGACGACGGACGACGGACGCAACAGTATGGTGAGCTAATAAACAATGGAATGTGCATGGTCAAATACTTGAATACAACATGACAAAACCAGAATCCAAATTAGAATACACCTGATCTATACTGGAAAGTATATAATAGATATATGAGCACTGGATCAATTCTCGATTCATGATTAATACTGGTACACAGAATCAATACAGGAACATATAATCAGTACTGGTACAAAGAATAAATACTGAAACACAGGATCAAAACAGGAAAATAAGATCAATACTGGAACACATGGTCAATACTGGTACACAAGATCAACACTGGAACACTGGATCAATACTGCAACAAAGGATCAATACAGGTTCACATGATCAACACTGGTACACAGGATCAATACAGGAGCACAGGATCAATACAGGAATGCAGGATCAATACTGGAACACAGGATCAATACTGGTACACAGGATCAATACAGGAACACAGGATCAATACAGGAATGCAGGATCAATACTGGAACACAGGATCAATACTGGAACATAGGATCAATACTGGAACACAGGATCAATACTGGAACACAGGATCAATACAGGAATGCAGGATCAATACTGGAACACAGAATCAATACAGGAACATAGGATCAATACAGGAATGCAGGATCAATACTGGAACACAGGATCAATACAGGTACNTATGATCAATACTGGAACACAGGATCAATACTGGAACACAGGATCAATACAGGAATGCAGGATCAATACTGGAACACAGAATCAATACAGGAACATAGGATCAATACAGGAATGCAGGATCAACACAGGAACATAGGATCAACATAGGAATGCAGGATCAATACTGGAACACAGGATCAATACAGGAACAAAGGATCAATACAGGAACACAGGATCAACACAGGAACACAGGATCAATACAGGAACAAAGGATCAATACTGGAACACAGGATCAATACAGGAACACAGGATCAATACAGGAATACAGGATCAATACTGGAACACAGGATCAATACAGGAACA